GAAAAATGCAGTTATTGTCTCTGAGATATGGAAAGATATTCACAATTAGCCATCTAAAATAGCTCTGGTCCTGTTCCCACTTATCTTTGAAACCATAAACCATTGCAATAGCAATCTTTGATGACCCAGTAAGGGGAAAAATACAATGTGCAGACAAGCAAAAAAAAAAAAAAAAAAAGTTAAATTACGCAACTTTAATAGAGCAATGCTTCTCAAACCTGTACTGGAGACCCCCCCAAAAGGTAGACATTTTGGATGTCTACCTTACCGTACCCATCCACTCCTGATCTTGGAGTCTCTACTAAAGATGTGATGAACTGAAGCCATGTTTGATTAGGAAGAGTTAGAAAATGTTTAATGTTGGTGTGCGTCCAGGAACTGGTTTGAGAAACAATCATTTAGAACTGAGAGGATTTATCATGCTCTTTTGAACATCACAGTGTGTGATTTTGTTAATTGTTAAATTACTTGTCACAGCTGTACGTGCGGACAGAATGAGGGGTGGGCGAAACAAGTTTGGACCTCTGTACCGACGGGACAGGCAACTGAAACAGCAAAGAGGGACCTATCACCAGACGAATACTGCCCCCTACAGGGTAAAAATTGAGGGACCACAAGCACTGGTACCTGCTGTGCCTCACGATTTTCACGTTCTCAACCCCTCCCCTGCTTCTCTTGGCTCTGACCATTACCATCCACCTCAGCCCTTTTATCCCAGTATGAGCCAGTCGGAGTTTCCCAGGCTGTTGGACTGCACCATGCCCAGAGACCGGACTCTGTCTGATCCATCCCTACCTTTCCACACACTGTGCTATCCAGGCTTCCACGGATACCCCCCCGAGAAAAGAGAGCTCCCCTTTAGCTATAGCCCTGCTTCTGTGACACCCCCTGCTCCAATCTCTCCTACTGTTCTCTCCACACCTGCACCTACACTCACGCCAACCTCAACTCCAAGTTCCACCCCAACTCCAGCACAGAACTTGACACCCAGTTCAACCCCAACCCCTAGTTCATGCTTCCTAAATGAGCTCCTACAAGCTGAGCCAGATGAGAAGCAGCTTTGCACACGGGTGTTAGCAAGCCTCCAAAGAGAACAGGCCTGCCGAGGAAAACATGACCGCCTCAACACCTTCAGCATCATGTGCAAAATGGCTGACCAGACTTTGTTTGGACTGGTGGAGTGGGCAAGAAACAGCACACTGTTTAAGGAGCTTAAGGTAGAAGAGTTTGCACATGATCGCATATGCATTGGATACATTATGTTATGTGTTAGTGTAATCTTCAGTATCACTGCTGAGCTGGTCACCATGATTTATCCATGCAGTTTCTGGATCACCATATTTTGTTGGTCATACAACATCGTTGCTTCCCAAAGAAACAAACCCTACCCCTAACCCAAAAAACAGGGGTATCCGAACTCCTGGAGGGCCACTGTCCTGCAGAGGACCGAGTTTGGACACCCCTGCCCAAAACTAACCATACCATAACCCCTGTAAAATCACAAGGAAATTGTTGGTTGATAAGAATGGTGTATGTCTCGAACACCAACCCTAAGTCTAACCCTAACTCTACCGCTTTGCATATGCCTAAAATTTGATTCATTGTTTGGAATGTTGATCCAGAGACTTGTCCTACTTGACAAAATCTTGGTTGTACCAACCTGGTTTAAGATGGTGAGTGCTGGTCAGATGCTGGTCTAAGTAGTGGAGCACCATGGCCATACTGTCCACTAGCAAAACTTGCTGGTGAAAACTGCTGAGTAGTATTTTCTTCCTTGTTTGTACAAGAAATCTCACTGTTTTAGAAGACTGGTGGAGACACCAGCATCCCATGCTTAGGCCTAGGGTCCAGAACAACATACATGCTTGTATTATGAGCAGGGATGGGGTTAACATTTGTAAATTTTTCAACAAGGATTGACAACTTCGGTCCTGAAGGACCACTGTCCTGCAGAGTTTAGCTCCAACTCTGAAAAAAAAAAAAAAAACTCACCTGCCTGTAGCTTTCTTAAAGACAATAGGCTTGTTTGAGATGAGCAAAATCTGCGCAGAACCGATCACCGGTGATCACCGCGAGATGCATACCGGTTAGAAAAGTGTCCGAGTTACGTCCGACTTGCTCTGATGTCATGCTGACGTGTGCAAAAAAACTCTCGCGACGGCGAGGCGGCTGTGTCGGATTGTGCAGTCGAGCGCAGTTGCTCTCCACCGACTGCGCTGATCAAAAGCATGATGGGAAACGACTGACTGACGACACAGCTTA